AGTGATTAATCACAAAAACAATATGTAATTATATATGTGTTTTCCGATGGTCTTAGGCGACCCCTGTGAAAGGGTCGTTCGACCCCCAAAGGGGTCGCAACCCTCAGGTTGAGAACCGCTGTCTTAGACCATGCCACTCCCCCATTTGGCTCCTGAAAATGCTTCCCATGAGTCTGATGCCATGATGTACTGATCCCATAAGTCAGTCTTGCAAGCTGTCTGGTTATTTTAGTTAGCTTGAGCTTCTGGAATTCCTATCATCACACGTGGTTCATTTTTCTTTGTTGTAGACAAAGTCTCTGGTCATAGGCAGGATCAATTACTAAGTTCATCTTTTATCCCTGCATGAAGCCTGGCTTCATCACTAGGGGTAATTCAGTCCATGTTGTAGTCTCTGGCTTTGAATTTTTCAGCAGACTCCTCTCTTCCTATTTCAAAACTCATGTTTCCTCTTGTGCTACCCAAAGACTGTTTCCTGAGCAATGCCTCTAGATTCTGGTTCTTGACCAGCTTAAGTGGTTGATACTTCAGGGTTAATGAACAGGCAGGCTTTTCAGTAGGTTTTCCTGGTAACTAATAAATGCTCCGAGCTAGGTGATAGCCTTAAAATATTAACTAACTGCCCCTATCCCGCCAACCAAACCAAACAAAAAAACTTCAAATATGACTAGTTACTAGAGCCTGGACTAGGAGCAGTATGAATATTTTAGTGAATAATTTAAAACTACACAACAAACCCTACATTAGTTTAACAACAAACCCTACATAAGTACTGAACTTAAAAATATCAGTAGCAAACAAATAATCAGAGTTGGATATCTATAAATGCAAATCAGTAGTGTTTTCTTCATTATTTAAAAAAAGGGAAAATGGCTATCACTCTCTGTGATCATACAAAAATTTCAAAGAAAACGAATTTTAGCTCACTCTTCCAATTTATTTTAGCTAATCATTTTCTACCTTAAGAGTAAACAAGCCAAATTTAAATGTGTAAGAATTCAAGTACAGAGGCTGTCTTCCTGAAAAAAGCAATTAATCAATAGTGAACATGGTAATGAGAAAATATTCCAACTTACTTCAAATTTATAAAGCAAAGTTTTGATAAAACGAAACATTTAAAAATAGATATGCTCACACAGTGACAACACAATGTCACATTAGACCTGAGTGTCATTCTAGGCCTGGGAAAACCAGGTTTATATTCTACAGAATGACACAAATATTCTCACAGCTGTTCATTAAAACAGCAATTCATTAAAAATATGAGACAATTAAATAATTATGATGCCTGAAGTGATTATAATATGTTAAGATCAAGATAAGCAGAAGTGCCAAAACCGGTTTGGCTCAGTGGATAGAGCGTCAGCCTGCGGACTGAAGGGTCCCGGGTTCGATTCCGGTCAAGGGCATGTACCTGGCTTGCGGGCACATCCCCAGTGGGAGATGTGCAGGAGGCAGCTGATAGATGTTTCTCTCTCATCGATGTTTCTAACTCTCTATCCGTCTCCCTTCCTCTCTGTGAAAATCAATAAAATATATTTAAAAAAAAAAAAGATAAGCAGAAGTATAAACTAATAGGTTACATAGCTAATATTCATTATGAGGCATGAAAAAACTTGATCGGGTGAAATATACTGAATAAAAATCATCTCATATATTTAATTTGGAGTCCAGAATGAGGGAAATGTGTCCCCATCAGATATAAAAGTACATTCTTTTAGATAGAGAATTAAATAAAAGTTAATTAATATATTTTCATCTTGTTTCATAGAAGTCCAATTCTGGAAGTTGAAAAAGGCTTCAAATGCTGGCAATCTGAAAATATCAAACAAGTATTCAAAAAGTATATATACATTTAAAACTATAAACTATTTTCAGGCATAACGGAAAATACAGAGGATAATATAATGGTCATTTTCTTTTGTATTGTTATGGGTTTGTCTTATTTTTAAAGTGAAACTTTTTTAGAGTTCAAATTTTCATAGAAGAAAATTCTATGAAATTCTGCAAGGGAATATCACAACCAAATCTGTAACAGACAGACATTTTCCAACAAATTAACCAATCTAGCTGCCTTGATGAACCTGTTGATAAAATGACATAAATTTACCTCCTAATTTTCTTATCTGAGCTGAATCACTGTTAATGAAATACATAAATTTTAGCCCTACTGGGTTTGGCTCAGTGGATAGAGTGTCAGCTCTCGGACTGAAAGGTACCAGGTTCGATTCTGGTCAAGGGCACATACCTCAGTTGCAGGCTAGATCCCTGGCCCTGGTTTGGACGTGTCTTGGAGGCAACCAATCCATGTGTATCTCTCACACTGATATTTCTCTCTCTGTCTCTCCACCTGTAGGCCTTCTAAAAATCAATGGGAAAATATCCTTGAGTAAGCATTAACAAAAAATAAAAATAAACAAATAAATTTTACCAAGAAACTATGTCATTTATTGTATGTATGATTCTCCCCTAAGAAAAGACTTCCTTCTTGGAACAGAGTAACTTTACAAACAGGCAAACATATACAAACACAAATATTGAGCTGACGTACTCAGGATGTCCCAATGTAAAAAATAAAGTTTCTAACTGAAGGCTTAGTATTTCAATGGGGATGATGATTCAACAACATACTATTATGCAAAATAGTACACATAAGCTTGAAGATTCAATCGAGTAACTCTTGGAACATAATCAGTGTTTCCTTAGATTTTATTCAATACTCGTACATTGACAGTTATGTTTTTCATGCTTCTCCATTTCTACACTGGTGTGCCTACAACTTTCTAATCACAAATCATTTTGCAGTGATAGGAATTCTTTCTCTGCCTACTGGTTAAAAGCTTAGGTGGGAGAGGACAAACATTCCTTGAAAGTCTAAGTGCAAACACTCTGCTACATGTTTTACTGACATTGTCATTTAACTTTCATAACAATCCTTAAATGGTGATAATTATTTTCCCTATTTTATAGATTAAAAAACTAAGGCTTTGGGGATTTAAGGCCAAGGTCACACAGTTAAGATTCAAACCTGGCCTGTCTGGCTCCTAAGCTTATGCTCCTTCCACTGTACAGACAAGGGATGACAACTCATCTAATTCAGGAATGCCCAGATGAAATGTACAATCTACAAATGAAAGGTACTCCTCTTCATTCTGAGAGTTGAATAACGTATTATATGCAAGGAAGGTGGGTGGTTAAAGCCAAGGCCTTGGAAAAGATCACTATAAAACGACCCTGTTAGTAACGTAGTTTAAAATTGCTCCTGCTCTACCGTGTCCTTGTCCTACAGCCCAGACACAAAGCTGAAAGGGTCAGAACTGACCACAGAATTCAGTTGACTCTAAAGCCCAGATTATTACAGAAGCATTGCCCAACCTCCCTCCTGATAACTTTGCCACAAAACGCAGCACAATTCTAAACATTTGAGTATTAAAAGAACTAAAAGGCAAACTAAATAAACTTCAGCAATAAACACCTTTCCTTAAAGATCAATTTTATAATGTGTGCAATATGTACTGCAGTAAACAACATTATACTCATATAATCCCCAAATACAGTTCATTCCATTACCAAACTGGAAATCAGATTTAGTGATAACCAGTTCAGACAGGACAAGAGAGCGCGCAAACATTTACTGAGCACGAATGAACAAACATGCATGTTATATTTAACTCTCACCTTGACCATTTTACAAAAACGACAAGATCTAGGGTTTCGCCCAAGGTCACGCCTGCAGTAAGGGGCACATCTGGATGCAATCCAGGTGTGTCCACGCAAAACGGTGCAGGGGTGGCTCACCCAGGCATTTCACGAAGGACGGACTTAAGCTAGACCCACGGGCCGGGGAATGACAGGCTCCGAAGCTCGGCTCTGCCAGCCGGACGAGGAGGCGGTGTGACCTTTCCGCCAAACCCCCCGGGGCCACGGCGCCCGGGGCCGGTGGGAATGGGGCAGGCAGGCCCCAGCCCAGAAGCCGGACCGGGTTGGAGTCGCGCCTAAGGGAGGGGGTGCGACACAGGTCAAGGCTGGTGAAAGACGGTGGACGAGGCAAAGGGAACAGCAGGGAAAGGCGAGAAAGTAGACGCGTTCACTCGAGGGTGTAGGTGACGCCTCCGGCGACGGAGGTGTCCGCGGGCCCCGGAGGCAAGGTGTCGGCGGGAGCCATTACCTGCCGGGTGGTTGTACAGCGGCCTCAATTTCTCAGGCAGCATGAGCTCCACTCTATCGAGGACCCGGTGGTAGGTGGCCCTCAGGCCCCGGACGCCGGCGGCTGACATCTCTGCGGACAAGGGATCGTGGCTGGGCGGGCGCGAGGGTGGCCGCGTACTCGTCCCCGGCTGACGACGAAGGGCAGCCTGTCACTCTCCCGGCCTCAGGGCCTCGCGTCCTACGCTCCCCTCGGGTGCTCTCCCCGCCGCCGCTCAGCCTGTCCCGCTTGCGAATCACCCTGGGGCCCGGGCCCGGAGAAGGCCGAGGAGGCGGAGGCTCTGCGACGGCCCGCCCTGGGTCGGCCCTCGGCCCGCCCGCCGCCCACTAGGAGGGGAGGCATGGCAACCGGGGTCAGAATCGCCTCCGCGATCCCTCGGGAGCCCGGCGCAGCGCGCGTGCGCGAGCGGAGCTGCCCACGGTGATTGGCCTGCCCCGCGGAGTGGGCGTGGCCCGGCGCGAACCTCCTATTTCTCCTTCCTGCCCTCGAGGCCATGTTGGAGAAGGGAAAGTGAAGTTGCCCTGAGCCCCTTTCATTTTGATGAAGGAGGCCCATAGTTAAAATGGGCTGTCGGGCCTGCCGTGCCCCAACTAAAGATGACGGCGCACAACCCTCTTGTTTCCTTTGGGATGGAACTCGTGAGCGAGAAACTTCAGATTTCAGCTTCCTCGTTTATCCTTGCAGGATGGAGGATTTGGCTGCAGGGGCCTGAACCTGCTTTTCTAGGATGAAGGCGGCTTTTCCTCGTGGGACCGGACCGAGCGGCTCCCGTCCCCCGGATGGTCGTCATCTCGCGAGAAAGCCTGCAGGGAGGGGTCGAGAGCGGGGAGAGGGCGGAGTCGCGGCCGCCTCCGCCTCCTCCCCCGCCCCCTGCGGGAGGCCGAGGGCGGGGCTGTTGCCGATCTGGACGTTCGGGCCAGTCTGGGGAGAGTATGAGCCGAGCTCCGGCCGCGGTGCGCCCGGGCTTCGGGGGCGAAGGCGCCGCCGCCTTCTGAGTCGCTGCGGCCGCCCGCGAGGCCCGGCGCGCGGATGGTGCCGGTGCGGCTCGGGGGCTGATCGCACGTCCCCTCTCCCGGCCCCTCCCCGCGCGGTGGGCTCCCCTCCCACCCGGCGGCGGAGCCATGTCTCGGGGGTGGCTCCTGCCCACACCTGTTGTGGGACGTGAGGAAAAGGTCCCTCGGGCTGGAGGACCCGGCCCGGCTGCGGAGCCGCTACCTGGGTGAGCGGGGGACGCCGGGCGGAGGCGCTGGGTGCCGCCCAGGGGTGGGGGAGGGGGCCGCGGTCGGGGCTGTTGGCGGCGGGACGGCGCCTCGACCGGGGCGCCCCTGAGACTCGGGGGGCGCTGGGTGGACTCCGACAGACGGACCCCGAGCCCTGCCCTCCGCGGCCAAGCCCCCTTGCGTGCTGCCAGCCGCCGCCCTGGCCGGCTTTTCCTCGCGGGGCCGGACCGGGGGCGGACGGTACCGGCCAGGAAAGGGGTTGGGGCGGCTTCTGGAGTGGGACTCGGGGCACGACCCGCCGGGCCTCCCGGAGCGTTTGGAGCAAAAGTTGGCGCTCCTGCTCTTCTCCAGCGCCGCCCCGCTCAGCCGAGGACGGGGCTTTCGGCTGCCACCCCCGCCCTGGGGCCTCGGAGGGTTCAGGTGTCGGCTGCGACGCGGTGCCCACCCTCGGCGTGTCCCGCTCGAACGGGCTCCGCGGGGACCCCCGGCTCCGAGCCCGAAAGTGGTCGCTGAGCTGTGCCGCCCGCGAGCGCTCAGCCCCGCCGCTCGGCCGGGTCTGGCCGCCTGGAGGTGTAGGGTTTCGCGCTCCCGTTCCCACCCCTGCAAAGCGCACTTGGCATTTTCTGTTTCTTAGTTCAGCTTTCTAAAAACAGCCCCAGCGCTGGAGGGACTGTCTTCCACCTTTTCCGTTTCGGATCCAGTGGTTTTGTGGGGATTCTGGGTCACGCCGAGCTAACCAAAAAGTCCGCTGTCCTCAAAGTGGGCATACTGAGTGTGGGTCTTTTTGTTGTTGTTTTCTTCTTGTGCAATCTTATCATTCCTCTTTATTCTTTTTTATTTTTATTTGAGGATAACATTTAAATTTCTTTCTTTCCAACTTTGTCACTTTTATTGGCTGAGTCTTTTTTGATGTCATTTGTTTTCGACTTCAAGTCAACAGAAAAGTTGGAAGCATTTTTTTTCTTATCCTTGGTTTTTTTTGTTGTTGTTGTTTTTTTTAGTGTCTCAAGTGACTTATGAATACATTCTCCTTGTAAAAACTTAATAAAAACGAAGCAAAAATCCCTGTGATCCTTCCCATTCCAATTTCACACACACATCCTTGGAGGTAACAATATTATCTGTTTCCTGAATATTTGTCCAGACCTTTTTCTTTGCATTCTTACCAGCACATAAGTATACATAGAGATGCTATAGTGTGTTTGTGTGTGTGTGTGTGTGTGTGTGTGTGTGTGTCCAGCATAAACATTGCTTTGCAACTTTCTTTTTCTACACTACATCTTAGAGATCTTAACATGGCAGTAAAAATAGATCTGTTCTTCTATAGAAACATATATAAGTTTATATATTATTGTTTTCTTCTGCTTCAGCTGTGTCTACGATAGAGTCTATTAAAATTAAAACCCTATATTTCCCCCCCTTCCTATTGTAACTCCCTAATGGAGTGGAGTTTGTGTTAAAGTTAGGGAATAGAACTGTTTCCTCCTGCTTCATAGGTCGAGGGTCAGCCACTAAACCACACCATCTGGGCTAGATCCCATTTTTGAGATTTCAGCATTTAAACGTTTTGATTATCTATAGCAGGGGTCCTCAAACTTTTTAAACAGGGGGCCAGTTCACTGTCCCTCAGACCGTTGGAGGGCCGGACTATAAAAAAAAACTATGAACAAATTCCTATGCACACTGCACATATCTTATTTTGAAGTAAAAAAAAAACAAAAACGGGAAGAAATACAATATTTGTATTTGCATGTGGCCCGCGGGCCGTAGTTTGAGGACCCCTGATCTATAGTATTGTAGGTTAATTACATTTCTAGTTTATTTCCATTATTTGTATTTCTGATCAATTACCACTAAATAACAGTGAAATTGGGATAGAATGAATTGACAGGTTTTTTTTGTGACATTTGCATTTCAAATTATTTCACCATAGAACATATCTTTTCAATGGTAGTATTCAAGTTTTGTTGTTTATTTTATTTAAATTTGGTTAATTATCTCTTTTCCTCTCATGAAAGAAAATCACAGTTCACAAAATGTACTTTTACATTGTGGGAATGAAGATAATAATTTGTCATACATTATTTAAGAGAAAAAGTATTTTATACCAGTAGCCCCCAAATTCACCTAAACCAATAGAGCCTGGATTGAACGACAGTAGGCCAGGGATTGTCTTCTCTATGAGCCTGATAAAAATTTCAGTGTGGGATTTATTTTTTTAAACACTAATTGTCAAAGTCCCGAGTTAAAGACACCTATAAGTTTACATATTCAGATTTTCTCAATGTTGTATACGCTCTATCCACTGAGCACATAGGGTGGTGCTTTGGAATTCAGTGATTGTTACAACTTATTAGCCACATATTTTAGTGTATATATAGTTTTGTAAAGATAAACATTGCTTATAAAAGAAACTCATTTCTGTACATTTCCTCTTTCCATATATCTTTCATTTTAGACAGACTTGTCTACTACTTGAATTAACACTTTCTAACTCCTCTAAAGGATGGTAATTGACAAGTAATTTTAAGGAACTTTTTGAGGGAGCTGTTTGCTATAATGCTTAAAATATTTCATATAAAGTGTTTAAGTTATGATTAAGTAGGGTCTTGGTCAGTGTGGGCTGCTGTAACGAAATGCCTTAAACTGGGTGGCTTATAAACAAGAGAAATTGATTTATAAGAGATTTGGAGGCTTGAAGGCTGAGATCAGGTGTCCACATGGTCAGATTGTGTCTGGTGAGGCCTGCTTCCTGGTGCATAGCCATCGTTTCACCATAACCTCAGATGGCTGAAGGGCTAGCTTCTTCTCTGGGGTCTCCTAGAAAAGCCCTAAACCAGTTCCACTCACCTCCCAAAGATCCCACCTCCTTATACTATCACTTTGGGCGTCAGGATTTCAATAGAGGAATTTGGGGATGAGAGGTATATAGTAGGCAGCCTGTGACAACTTTATAGTGGAGATTGAAAATTTTTTGTAAGGGGATTAGGAAGACAATGTCTGAATATTATTAAAGTCATTATGTATTGAAATGGATAATTTTCCATTTACTCTTTTAATTAATTTTTATTTTTGAGAGTATTACAGATGTCCCCCATTTTTGGCACATCCTGAATTATATCTACATTCAGATTTACCAAATCCATAATGTGTTGCCAAGTTACATTATTTGAACGTCAGTAAATTCTGACTTTGCCTCCTTTTTAGCTACTGGGAAAAAGTTAGTGTTTCTTTAGTCTTGAAATCTCTGAAAATTAGAAAATGTCTGAGTAGTGAAAATGTCAAATATGAAAATATATCAAATAGAATATGCTAATTCTTGAACATAAGACTAACAGAGGCATATTTTCAGTCATAAATGTAGATAGCAGGATAAGATCGCTCTGCTGAGGACTCCATCCTTCCCTGGATGAATGTGTTTAGGAGGGATAAGAGCTTTTGGTAGCGGAGAACTTGTGTTACAGTTAGGTATTAGGTCAGTGTTTGCAAATGTTTTGACCACGATCCACAGTGAAAATACATATACATGGCAATTTGAGATCCACACACACTGAAATAAAAGGTTCTATGAGTGGGATTTAGCCTTACTAGGTGGGGTACATTTTAATTTAGGTTCTTTATCATATTGAAAACATTGAATATCCACTAATGAGTTTCAGCTTGAGGTTTATTTGCCACCCATACACTTTGGTTAAATGTTCAGATTTACCTTCTTAATAATTTAAGAATTCTTTACATATTCTTGATGCAGGTCCTTAATCGGATATGCATTTTGCAGATATTTTCTCCCACTTTGTCTTGTCCTTTATTTTTCTTAACAGTGACTTTTGTAGTTCATACTTTTGGTGTCCTATTTAAGACTCTCTACCTAATCCAAGATCAAAATGATTTCTACTATGCTTTTTTTCTAAAAGTTTTCTACTTTTAACTCTTACACTTAGGTTTATGAACAATTTTGAATTACTTATGCTATGAGGTAAGGGTCAAGTTTCAGTTCTTTGCCTATGAATGTGCATTGATTCAGTACCATTTGGAAAAAGGCAGTCCTTTTCCCTTAGTTGAAAATCAATTGGCCATGAACATGGTTTTTCTTTCTCTCTATTTTTTGGGTGTTCTTTCTTTTCCCTCAGCAATGTCTTATAATTTTATTTTTTACAGTGTACAAATCTACACATATTTTGTTCTGTCTCTCCAGAGTTTTGTCACCCTTTGATTTTCATTTCCAGTTATGTGGTATGACGCCATGGGGGTTGTTACTTCAGGAAGACAGCAGTCTTTAGTGACAGATAAGGAGGTCATGAAAAGTATGTCTTGAAAAAAGACCATTGGATTCACTGATAACCCATGATTTCCAAGAGCAAAACCAATAAAGAGGAGGCGACCAGAGGGACAATGTCAGAAAAGGAAGACCTGACCATGAGCTAGGGAGGGCAGCAAATGTAGATGATGGGAAATTTGGCATTAAAAAGTTGTTGAAAGGAACAATAGGATCAAGAAAAGTGAACATTTCTGTTAAGGTGCTTTCCTTCTCAGTATCACTCGCCTTATTCTTTTCTCTTAACCACTTGAAGTTACCTCAGCTCCTGTAATAAAGCCTTTTATTTAAATCATTCTTTCTCTTTTCAGACAACATTAATTTAGAACAATCCCACATGTGCATAGGGAGACTACTAATCTTGAGTGTCTACAGTATATCAGGCACATCTATGAGTTTCCCATATGCTAATTGTTTACTCTCAGCATTAAACCTGTAAAGTTGATGGTATTATTCCCATCAGATGTAAAACTTTTACCAATGTGAAAACGGAGGCTCTTAGAGGTTAGGTTTTGCCCAGAGTATGTGTAGTATGTTCCAAGTTAGATATTTAAACCCAGTTCTGACCTTTCTGGTCTCAAGCATCTCATATTCTAATAAGAGAGCTAGTTATGCAGATAAATAAGTTACACAGCTATTTAATAAGTTTCACAGCCATTAAAATGAGCAATAGTTCAGTATTTATTGTCATTGAAAGATGTTCCTCCCAAATTATTGAGTGAAACACATAAAACAGAGTGAAGACTTTGATCCCATTCATTTATTCATTGATTCAGCAAATACAGATTGAGTGCCTGCTTTGTGCTAGGCACTGTTCTAGGCATTTGTTCCTCTTTTTTATGGAGTTTATAATCTATTAATACTGAATGGAATGTTGAGATGGAAATGGGATTATAAGGCAGTTTGGCTTGCAGAAAGACTGGAGTAGGAAGCCACAACGATAAGTAAATTCACCCATAACAAGGGTGTAATTGTTGAAAGAGTTTTCCATGGCTTTGTTACATTTCTGCACATCTTGTGAGCAGAGGCACTGGCTGCTTTGTTCTGGACTATCTTTCCAAGAATGTTTACATAGTGTCTCCCTCTGGGGCAGAGGGCAGATTTATTTATTGTCCAGCATAATGAAGACAATGTGTCCCTTTTATCAGGCAGGTTTATTTGATACAAGATTTGGGTCCCTGCAGTTCAGAGGTCTCTGGCTGTGATTCAGATCCAATGCTTGCACAGTGTTGCACCCAGACTGCTCCGCATTGCCCAGTGGGAATTGGGGCTGAGGAGTAAAGTGTAAACCTAAAGCCCATACTGTTTGCTGGGCCATGAGTAGTAAAATCTTTGCTTCTGGCTTGAGAGTCCTTTTCTTCTGCCAGCTCCCATGAAATGTCAGGTAACTTGTTAGCTTGCAAGTAGGCCAGACTCTGCAGGCATGAGTTTATTTTTACTTTTATTTGAGGGCATTCAGTTTCTTTAACTTAAGGTCTTATTTTCTGGTGGCTTTCAGTTCCCATTTCTGGGAAGCGCATTTAATTGCTGAAAGGGTAGAGGGTGTTGACACTTGTTATTTCTAGAAGCACGTTTTATGAGATGTGTGTACGTACAACCATTTTGATCTCCAAAGTCATGTTAAAAAATACTCAGGAGCTATCTGCTTAACTGTTGTGCTTCAGCTTGTGTTTTATGCACAAATTTCGTAGATGAGCATTCTTGCTGGAACTCACTTTGTCTTCTTTTGTCTCATGTGCCATCATTATTTTCTGTAGACAGAAATGGCTAGAGCTGTGTTTTCAAAACCAGGTTTTTAAAGTTTGGAAAAGTTTCTAGTACATTTATAAAAAACATTTTAATGAATTGTTGTCATGTTGTTAATTTGAGTACTTTATTTCTTAACCCTTTGCACTCCGCTGTAGAATTACCAGGCCTGCCATTGGTCAAAGAAAATAATTTTTTAAAAAGTTATCTATTTGCGCCCAGCTGTTTATTAGTGATTACGGGGAATTGAGTTATTTCAACGCAACTTTTTGAGACATGCATGTTTCCCGGAAGTTTTATCTTGAAATGGCACAAGAAATTAAATCAAAATATCGTAAAATTACTAAGATATATACAAGAAATGTCAGCGGGTTTTGTGTCGGATTAAACAATAAACTACATATTCCCGATGTGGGACAAAGAAAACGGGACTGCATTGTGTGTTCTAACAGGAAAACACCTGGTGGCAGGCATCAAACCACTTATTACTGTCAAACATGCACTAATCAGCCTGCAATGCATATTGGGGAGTGTTACAAAACTTATCATACTGTACAAAATTATAAACAATAAAATATTGTTTTTTTTGCAAATATACATTCCTCGATGTCACCCAATTCATATAAGACCAATATCATTGTAATACGTTACTTGGTTCCAAAATTATACTAAATAATACGAGGGTCTGTAAATGCACGTTTCCGCCGCAAAGTAGCGTCGAGTAGCTGGTAGCCAATGTCCAGAATGGTTCGGAGTGCAAAGGGTTAACTGTGAATTGGTTACTCAGTAGAATTACCAGGCCTGCCATTGGCCAAAGAAAATAATTTTTTAAAAAGTTATCTATTTGCGCCCAGCTGGTGTGGCTCAGTGTTTGAGTGTCAACCTATGAACTAGGAGGTCACAGTTCAATTCTCTGCAGGGCACATACCCAAGTTTTGGGATCAATCCCCAGGGTGGGGCGTGCAGGAGGCAAGCCAGTCAATGATTCTCTCTCACTGATGTTTCTATCGCTCTCTCCCTTCCTCTCTGAAATCAATAAAAAAATATATTTTTAAAAAATTTGCTATTAGTAATGTTTTATAACTGAAAATCAGATTTGAAAAGTTAAAGTACAGCCTAGTTCAGGAAAATACCTTACTGAATTTCTGTCAATTGTTTTATTCCAAAGAGTTTTGGAACCCACACACAAAAAGAAATTATTTTTTAATCCATATGTTCATCCTCTAGCCATCTTGCCTGTTATAAGGAAGGAGAAAGAAAACAATTTGGCTTCAAAGAAGATGCTGATCTTTATGTAGAATGGTGAGAAAACATAATAAAGAAATCTGTCCCTGTGACAGTATACGGAGAGCATAGTCAAATTTAATTTTATCCAAGATTTCATCAGCCTGATTACTTAGCTAATTATCGCTCTTTGTCACATACTCAGCTTCCTTTCATTACAGTTTCTGAATAAACATGAAGCTTTTTGGTCCATCTTTGGTAAAGATGATTCATGTCTTAAAGGGAAACATATTTCTCTTTTTCAAAGAAGGAACATATTCTATTTTTGTAGTATTTTAACTGTTCTGCTATTGATGGACATTTAGGTTGGTTTTATTTTTTGCTGCCACATTTCATCATTGTAAAATGAGCTTTGAAATACTTTAGCATTTCTCAAATGGAGATGTGTTTAAGTAGAGGTGGCATCTAACAAACGCTGTGTGCCACCCTATTTAAATTGAAAACCCCATCCTCCACCTCCAGGCCTCTCTCACCCCTTTCTCTGCTTGACTTTTCCATGTAGCACCTTCACCAAGTGCCATATTGTTACTGTCTTTCATCCCTCACTAGAGGACAGGGATCTTTTTCTGTTTTGTTTTACCACCATATTCCTAGCTCCTAGAATACTTCTTGCAACAGAGTAAGTACACTAAGTATTGAATGTATTTGTTGGATGAATGAGTGAATGAAGGGAACCTTGAGTGTTTGCTGTGGTCCAGACACTGTGCTAAGTAAGTGCTTCATGTCCTTGAAATCACTCAATCCTTACAATAACTAAAGGGTGTCCCAAAATTCACGCAAGAAGTAATTTCGATAGAAAACACAGGTTTATAATTAAAAATTGTAAATTTTTTATTGATTCATAAAGTATACAGTATAGGGTTATGTATGGAATAGCATATCGGGTAAATGGCCTCCACGGCTTTGCTGTCACATACGCACTCTTTTGTTGAAATTTTCCATGACCGTTTTGCATAAATGTGGCTGAATTTCGATGAGGCTCATTTTCATCTTGATGGCTTGGTTAATTGACAAAATTGTCGCATTTGGGGTTCAGAAAATCCACGAGTGATTGTTGAGAAACAAATGCATCCACAACGTGTCACCGTTTGGTGCGGATTTGGGGCTGGAGGCATCATCGGACCATTCTTCTTTGAAAATGCGGCTGCTCAGGCAATAACAAAAGAGTGCGTATGTGCCAGCAAAGCCGTGGAGGCCATTTACCCGATATGCTACTTCATACATAACCCTATACTGTAACTTTATGAATCAATAAAAAATTTACAATTTCTCATTATAAACCTGTGTTTTCCATCAAAATTACTTCTTGTGTGAATTTTGGGACACACTTTATAAGAGGTAGGTAGGTACTCTAATGAGGAAACTAGGGCATAGGACAGTGATGGCGAACCTATGACACGCATGTCAGAGGTGACACGCGAACTCATTTTTTTGGTTGATTTTTCTTTGTTAAATAGCATTTAAATATTTAAAATAAATATCAAAAATATAAGTCTGTGTTTTACTATGGTTGCAAAGATCAAAAAATTTCTATATGTGACACGGCACCAGAGTTAAGTTAGGGTTTTTCAAAATGCTGACATGCCGAGCTTAGAAGGTTCGCCATCACTGGCATAGGATGAGGTTAATTTGCCCAATTTCACTTAGCTTATAAGTGGAAGAGTTGAAATTAGAGCTTGAATCTACTTATGCCAGATCCTAGGCTCTTAACTTCAGTGTTCTACTTTCCATAGCAATAAATGGTAGGATATATTTAGTTCTTTCTTTCTTTTGAAACAGGAAGAAGAGAATTTATCCAAAGATTAAAACTTGAAGCAACCCTGAATGTGCATGATGGCTGTGTAAGTAATCGTTGTTTTTCAACCATGAAGGACTTTAAAACTGAGTATTTAAATGTTTAATAAAATGCCCCAGTCTTGCACACTGAAAGATTGCTGGATTGCTGGTTCATGAAGGAAGCAGCCCATTGATGTTTCTCTCTCTCTCTCCTTCTCCCTCCTCTCTCTAAAAATCAATTTTAAAATCTTAAAAAAAAAAAAAAATTCCCCAGTTTTCCCTGAAGAGATTGTGACTGGCCAATAAATTGGGAGAATAAAGTTTTACATTAAAGTGATTTTGAATTTGGAAAAATATATGTTAGGTGTTTTTTAAAGTAGAGATGGTCCATGTTACTCCATCTTGATTAAAAGTGGAAGTCTAATTCTTTTTTTAAAATTTAGATATAGTTCATATACCATAAAATTCACCCATCTTAATGTGTAATTCAGCATTTTATTTTCATTTTTTATATTATTTACATATCTATTTTATTGACTGTATTGGGGTGACATTGGTTAATTAAATTATATAGGTTTCAGGTGTACAATTCATTATACACTGTATATTGTACTGTGTGTTCACCATCCCAAGTCAAGTCTCCTTCCATCACCATTTATCTCCCCTATAATTCAGTGGTTTTTAAAATATAATCATAATGTGGTACCGCCGTCACCACTATCTAATTCTAGTATATTTTCAGCAGCTGAAGTATAAGTTTGTACCATTTATCAGTCGTTCCCATGCCCTCCCCACCTAGCTGTTGGCCTTCACTAGTTTACTTTCTGTCTCTGTAGATATGCCTCTTCTGGACTTTTTATGTAAATAGAATAACATATGTGGCTTTTCAGACTTTCTTCTTTCACTATCATTAATGTTTTCAGGGTTTGTCCATGTCACAATATGGGTAATGTGGCTGAATAATATTTCATTGTGCAGATATTTTGTTATAAGCAAACGGGCAGTCCCATTTTGTTTATGATATTTGGGTTGGTTTCCCTTTGGGCTTTTATGAATGATGCACCCATGGACTTTTGTGTACAAGTTTTTGTGTGACATGTTTTCTTTTCTCTTGCATATAGACCTTGTTGTGGAATTAATGGGTCACAGCACAACTCTGTGTCAGTTTTGAGGTGCTGCCAAACTTTTTTCCAAAGAGCTGTGCTATTTTGCATTCTTTCCAGCAATGTATAAGGCCTTCAATTTCTTGATATCCTTACCAACTCTTACTTTCTGTGTGTTTTTTTAAAATTATTATAGCCATCCTAATAGGTGTGAAATAGTAACTCATTGTGGTTTTAGTTTTCATGAAGATTTACACCTGTTTTCTTCTAAGAGTTTCATCATCTTGGCTATTACATTTAAATGTTTGATCATTTTCAGTTAGTTTTTATATATGGTGTGAAGTAGGGGTCTAAATTCATTCTTTTGCTTGTGTATATCCAGTTGTCCCAGCATCATTTGTTGAAAAAACTGTTCTTTCTCCATTGAGTAGTCTTAGAATCCTTGATAAAAATTACTTGACCATGAATGTAAGGGTTTATTTCTGACTATCAGTTCCATTCTGTTGATGTGTGCTTATGGTTATGACAGCACCACACAGCCTTGATCACTGCAGCTTTGTAGTAAGTTTTTCTAATTCCTTTTTATGTGACCCAGTTTTATGTCTCTGGATATAAAATGAATTTGTTAAAATAATTTAAATAATAAAATTTAAGAGAGACAGACATTTCATTGTGAATTTTCAGAATATTGTGTTTGCTAAATAGTAGTCAGCATGTACTTTCAGGAAGTAAATTGATAAATACTATTTTCCGTATACACAACCTCATTAGTGATATAAATTTTGAACCATCAGTTAAGTAAACGATTCATACTTGTTTTATGTTCAGTTTGCTGCAATCCCTTTTTTTGCTTTCTTTTTAGGTTAATACAATCTGTTGGAATGAGACTGGAGAGTATATTTTATCTGGCTCAGATGACACCAAGTTAGTAATTAGTAATCCTTACAGCAGAAAGGTAAGTGGTTTATAAAATCTACAATTTCATGAGAGAGAGAAAAATCAAGAAACTAGAAATCAAGAAATTGTAAATAATCATGGACTGGGCATTTGTAATAGAATATTCTTATTTTGCTCACATTTGTTATATAATTTATAAGTTATTACAGCCAGGTCCCCTACTTTCCTTTGGAAAACGTTAGGTTTCCTTCTGCTTTTTGACTCTAGAATACTTAAGCATGCTTCATGTTATCCAAGTGGATAAAATTGCCAAAAGTGATATTATCTCAATAAACCATTCTTTGGGGGCCAGGGAGGCAATGTGATTTTTTTTTCTTTCTGCTCAGAGAAACTAATTTTCAGCCAAGCAGTGTAAGAAACGGGATTTTATCAGTTTAAAAACAGTCGCTAGGTTCTAGTGACTTGTTTCTTCAGTTCAGTAAGCTGGGCTATGAACTAGGATTGTGTTCTGGTTCTGACTGGCTCTTCCTCTGACTTCTTATATAGAAGGAACGTGCAACTATTTTTATGTCAGTGAGAACATGGTAGATGGGCACCCTTTTTTAATAGTATCAATCTTACAGAATAAATAGTTCATGTATTTTTTATTCCTACAAACAGTTAAGATATTTAAATAAATGTTTGTGGTCCTTCAGCCTAAAAAGAGGTTCACATTGAGGCTGTCATTGATGGAAAAGATAGGTCACAATTTTATTTCAGAGACAGCTTTGCTTAATTGTGCTGGCTTACCAGAGGGAAACTTGATGTTTTCAAGCTCTGCTTCTCGTAGGTCTGTAATTACTAGGACAACCTTTTTCTTACAGTGGAGAAATTCCTGATCATTAGAATTTCAGTGCTTATAATTTATAAAGCACTCATCTAGGTACCAACGAAATTTCTTTAAAAAATGCAAAGCTTTATATTTTTTTAAATTGTGATAAAATGCACATAACATAAAATTAACCATTTTTAGGAGTTCAGCTCAGTGACATTATATACATTCACCTTATTGTGATACTATCACTCCCAACCAGCTACAGAACTCTTCATCTTGCAGAACTCAGACTCTGCCCATTAAACCGGAGTTCCCCTCCCGGCAACCCTCCCCCCACCCCACAACCAATATTCTACTTTCTGTCTCTCTGAATTTGACTAAGTACTGCATCTACTTCTAGGTACAACAGCTGGTGCTGCTGGCTGTAGTTTGATGTTAATGAACTTCACATATGTTTATGCAGCATTTGTCCTGTTGTGACTGGCTAATTTTATTCAGCATAATTTTCTCAATGTTCACCCACATTACAGCATGTGTCAGATTTTCCATTCTTTTTAAAGCATTCCATTGTGTGGATAGACCACATTTTATTTATCCATTCATCTATCAGTGGACACGGGTTGCTTTTGCTTTTGTCTGTTGTAAATAATGTTGTCGTGAGCGTAAGTGTATAAATATCTCTGCAAATCCCTGCTTTTAGTTATTTTGTGAAAATGCCCAATGGGTCCTAGCTGGTTTGGCTCAGTGGATAGAGCATCGGCCTGCGGACTGAAGGGCCCTGGGTTCGAATCTGGTCAAGGGCACATGCCCAGGTTTCGGGCTAGAACCCTAGTAGGGGGCATGCAGGAAGCAGCCGGTTAATGATTCTCTCTCATCATTGATGTTTCTACCTCTCTCCCCCTCTCCCTTTCTCTCTGAAATAAAAAGATACATATATATATATATATATATTTTTTTTAAAAAGCCCAATGGCATAATTTTTAAAAGATCAGGTGTTTCTCTTTTAATTGCTTTTTAAAAAATGATATTTGCTTTATGCATGGTTCCTAGTAGATTATATTTATTTGAAAAGCAATTGCTCATTACCTATACTCATTTCCAATTTGAGAAATGATGAATCAGGTAATACTTTCAGAGATTTTAGGTATAGGAAGACTATCTTTTTCACATAGTGGTTTTAATAGTTCCAAATTTGGTATCATACAAGGAATATTTTTATTGTAAAAGACTAATGATTCATTACATAAGAAAACAGTTTTTTGATCCTGAGTTAAATCTTTTCTTATAGTTTCACTCTAGTTTTAGATTCTTTGAATTCATGGGAAGATTAATTTATGGCTAATGAAAGTTTCAAAACACTACCTATAGAGTTACGAGATTAGAGGTGTTTCTTATTAGTGGTATATCTTAATCATATATATAATAAATCTCAAATATATTAAAAAGAGAAGTTTTGTTTTCCAAAAATTATGGGCTAGTTTATTTGGATCAATCCTCCCACTGAAGACAATGAAAAGATGCTTGATTAAATAGTCCTAAAAATAACAAATAGCTTTTTAAATAGTCCTAAAAGTAAGATAACTGCCTTGATAGTGAGGCGTTCAATCCAAAATGGTCATCAAAATTCTTCACATCTCAGAGGGAAAAAATAAAATATGAGGGATTTTGATTTCTTTTTTTCCTAATTATAATAGTTCAAATCAAATGGTAATATTCATTGAGATAAAAATATTAATGAGAATTTATTCCTGGCTATGCTTATGTTAAATATGAATGTTTATTTCTAGGAAATAATAAATTGCCAAGAATTACCTTCTTTGTATGTTTCAGGTTTTGACGACAATTCGTTCAGGGCACCGAGCAAATATCTTCAGCGCAAAGTTCTTACCATGCACAAATGATAAGCAGATTATCTCCTGCTCTGGAGATGGAGTAATATATTATACCAATGTTGAGCAAGATGCAGAAACTAACAGACAATGCCAATTTACGTGCCATTATGGAACTACCTATGAGGTGCAGTATTAATTATAATTATATATGTGATACATATGTGTATGTTTTTGTGTAAGTGTGTGTATGGTGCATGTATGTACATAGTACATCGTTATAATAAAAGGGTAATATGCTAATTAGACTGGATGTCATTCTGGACATCCTTCTGGACAAAGCCGGGGACTGGAGGGAAGCCTGGGTCCTGGGTGCCAGAGGGAAGATGCAGCCGGGGGAAAGAAGGCCTACTCTTGCATGAATTTCATGCATTGGGCCTCTAGTATGTGTAGATTTGTGTATGTGTATATACACTCCTTTGTGAATTTGTAGGCAAAGAAATTATTGACAGAATATCTAGATTTCAGTAAAGTATTTGAGAGAATGGGTCTTGATAAGCTTGGGAATAAAGTTAAGAAATAAGCTATGAGTAATAGTAATAAGAAATAAGCTGTGAGTAATAGTAATTATGTGAGCAACCATACTCTTGGCAAACAGGTGTCAGCCTTTAAAAGATGCTTCTGTATTGTGTTTCAGGGCTCTCTACTGGGCTTTCACCTCTTACACACTTTATCACTGTCTTGCATAAAGTCTTTTTGTCAGGACTATAATACTGGTAATGTTTTAACTACAATAGCTTTGTAATACTTTTTGAAAGCAGCAAGAATGAGGACTCCAGCTTTGTTTTTCTTTGTCCTGATTGTGTTGGCTATTTTGTGTCCTTTGAGGTTCCATATGAATTTTAAGATTTTTTTTTCCTGGTTCTGTAAAAAAAAATGCCACAGGGATTTTGATAGAAATTGCATTAAATCTAGGTCACCTTGAGTAGTATGGACATTTAAACAATATTAAGTCTTCCAATTCATGAACATAGATGTCTTTTCATTTGTGTGTGTCTTCTTTAATTTCTTTCAGCATGCTTTGTAGTTTTTTTGTATACAAGACTTTCACCTCCTTGAATAAGTTTATTCCTAAGTATTTTACTCTTTTTGTTTGTAATATAATGAGGTTGTTTTCTTAATTTCATTTCTAGATTGTTTATTGTTAGTGCTTAGAAGAAGCACAATTGATTTTTGTGTTGATTTGTTAACCTGCAACTTTGCTGTATTCATTTATTAGTTTTAATGGCTTTTTTTTTTTTTTGGTGTGGAATCTTTAGAATAGTATACATATAAGACCATGTCATCTTCAATTGGAGATAATTTTGCTTCTTTTTCAATTTCGATTACTTTTATTTCTTTTTTCTTGCTTTAGCTAGAACTTTCAATATTGTATTGAATAGAAGTAATGAGAGTGGGCATTCATGTCTTGTCCCTGATCTGAAAGGGAAAGCTTTCAGTTTTTCACCATCCTATATAATAAAAGGCTAATATGCAAATTGTCCCCTTGACCAGGAGTTCGACCAAGAGTTTGACCAGGGGGCAGGGCTGGCCGGCCAACCTCCTGCATCCCCTCCCCCCAGCCGGCTAGGCCATATTGCCCCAATTGGGGCGGGCGGGCTGGACCCTACCCATGCACGAATTCATGCACCGAGCCTCTAGTTGAATATGATGTTAGCCATGAGCTTCTCATATATGGTGTTTATGTTGAGGTAATTTCCTCCCTTTCCTAGCTTGTTGAGTGTCTTAATCATGAAATTTTGTCAAAATTTTTGAGACGTCAATTTAAATGCTTTAATCAATTCAGCATCTTATAGTTTTCTTAAACATTATCATAGAAGAAAACTGTAATGTGTTTATAGTACAATTACAAATTTATATCCAGAAATCATAAAAATTAGGCTTTGAATAGTTTGAACAAGTTTCCTAGGGAAAAATTTTTCTTATCAAAGCTGTTAGAAGTTTATAATTTTAAAGAACTTTCTATCTTCAGGAGCATTTGTTTCAAACTTCAAAGTAATGAGTCATATTAATTTAACTATTACTTCCTGCATATTTCTATATGTAATTTACTGTTTTGACTTAGTTGCTTTTGCCTTAATCATTTTATAAAACAGTAGGAATGCTTCTCAAAGCCATCTGTTTAAGTGTTCAATAAGAATACCTGGACTTTTGCTCTCATCTTCAGATTATGACTGTACCCAATGACCCGCATACTTTCCTCTCTTGTGGTGAAGACGGAACTGTTAGGTGGTTTGATACGCGCATCAAAACTAGCTGCACAAAAGAAGATTGCAAAGATGTAAGAATCAACTTTTTGTATAAATGATGCAAAATATTTAAGATTATAATTAAAATTGAAACAGTAAGCCCTGGCCGGTGTTCTCAGTGGTTAGAGCACTGTCACATGCACTCCAGGGTTGCGGGTTTGATTCCTGTTCAAGGGCATGTACCTGGGTTGCAGGTTCGATCCCTGAGGGTCCGGGCATATGTGTACAGCAACCAATCTATGCCTCTCTCACATTGATGTTTCTCTCCCGTCTCTCCCTCTCTCCCCTCCTTCCCTCCCTCACTTTTTCCCTCCCTCCCTCATTCCCTTCCTCCCAATCTCTCTAGAAAATCAAAGTTAAAAATATCCTCAGGTGAGGATTAAAAAAAAAATTGAATAGTAAGTTATCTCTGGATTATCGAGATAATGGGTCAGTTTTTTTACAAAAATCTTCAATAGCATATATTTTATAATCAAGTTTTTTACATTAAAATGTTAATAGTGAAGTTAGGGAACTTGTATTTTTATTGTACATTTTAAATTATATATATGAGAATTGTTCAGTATATGCTCTAGTGTTATAAAAACTAGAGCATTTATCAATATATACCACTTATGGAGATAATTGTGGCTCACCAATAGCCATGATGAAAGCATGTGGTAGTTTAGTGTCTTCTCTTTGTTTTTACCCTGGCTTTTAAACCAACAATTATATGTTCTCTTTTTTTTAAATAACAAGATACCATTCTATCAATGTGTTCATTCAGATTTAGCACACTTCTCTATAGGCATAGCTTCACTATCAATTTTGTACTTTTAATACTATTTTAAACTTGAAAAAGGCCTGAGAAATCACGTAATGGCCCCAGACAGCTAACCCCAAATGTTATTTAGAAACAGTGGCTTTTTTCTCAGGTCATTTTGAAGTACCAAATGAAATAAGAAAGTATTGCTAAATATATTTTTACTGAAAGCGTCCATCTCCCCTAAAGAAGAATTACTGGTTAAGTGCTTGCTAATTAAACCAGTTACTATTATTAACATTCTTGAGGGGTGGGAGAGATTATTTTCTATATTGAAACAGAAAAAAATAGAAATTAAGAAATTTTAAATGTACGATTTTTAAGTCCGTTTTTATGTTACATGTATGTACACACATACACACAACTAGGAAAGCATTGAACTAATATATAAAAGGCAGAATAAGTCTAAAATATCAGATTGTTTACCAGGATATTTGGTATTCCTGTTTCTCAGTAAATGGTAGATACTAAAATTTGTTATGGCAAATTCTTTTAAGACATATTTCAGTGTGCATGTAGTAAGATTTAATTGTGCTTTTATAACCAAAAACCCGGTAAAAATAAAGATGAAAGCAAAGCTAATAAGTGAAAACATTGTTAAAATTTACCTTAATAAAACTTTTTATTCCTTTATATATAAAAATGAATAGAGGCCAAAGTATGAAGAAAAACTGGCAACTAAAGTAATCCTTAACTACTAAAACAGAATTATAGAAGGCATTTGGTGAACAAATTCTGTGTAATAGGAATAATGTTTTGAGGTCAATAATTAAATAAATAAAACATAAGGTGAATGTATTCTGAATACACAGCTATACTGAGAAGAGTGAGGAGCTCGCATCACAGACAAAATAGTATAAAATTAACAGAACACCTTAAGGATATGTGTTCTGGGTCATAACTCTTACATTTTTTAATGCTTATAGAGAGATAGTGACATTATAGTAAAATCTGTCTTTTATAGGGTGTGTGTGTGAGAGAGAGAGAGAGAGAGAGAAAGAGAGAGAGAGAGAGAGAGAGAGAGAGAGGGAGGAAGAGGGAGGGAGGTTGTACTTTGTATTTGAGCTGGTAAGGAGAAAGATTTTACAAGTTAAAAGTAATACTTTGTTATATTTTAGTAGTAACAGAACTAAAATAATGTAAGTACCATATAAAATAATTAGTACTTATCATAATTAGTACTTATCATAGATAAAGGTAGATTATACCTCCATCTTTACTGTCCAGTGGACCAAAAACAGCAGCATTTGTAATGTGGTTAACAACTTATTGATACATTACATATGTGAGTATTTTACATTTCTAAAGATGTTCATTAGTCATAAGCATGAAGATATTTAGGGGACATTTCTGAGAAATAATTCAAGTTGTATTATATTATTATCTGAAGTGCAGCTAGTTTTGAGAAAGGATTTAAACCATGATTAATGATGAGTTTCTTGAATTATTACCAGCTCTTTTGTAGCTGCTGTTGATTTAGCTGATGTTTGAGTCTTATATCTGGGAACAATTTTTATTTTTTTCCTCTTCAGAATTTATTTTGCATTATTCAAATATTGGTTGTTTTTAAATCTCTAATTAAATGTAGTTTTCCATATATGTTTTCTTACTTTGGTCCATAAGGAAAGCATAAAATTTGTATTAGAGGTCAGTTTTGGAGTTGTATAGCAAACTGTAAAGAAAACAGTTTTTCTTAGAGTGATAAACTGCTGAGGAGGAATATTGACTGCATGTATTTATTTGCCTTTCACATAAGCTGAATGTGTTAGAAACTTATTGATAGAAAGAAATCTGAAAAATGAAAGGAAACCACGTTTTTCCCCTTTCAATGTCATACTTATTGAATTAGGATTTCTGAAAAAGTTTATTTTCTTCTAATTGAAGAGAACCTTTTTCAATATAGTATCATCTCTACTGTAAAGCTCTATGTAACTGCTGCTATTTTATCTTTTGTAGGATATTCTAATTAACTGCCGACGTGCTGCTACTTCTGTAGCGATTTGTCCGCCAATACCATATTACCTTGCTGTGGGTTGTTCTGATAGCTCAGTCCGAATATATGATCGGAGAATGCTGGGCACAAGAGCTACAGGTACAAAGATATATATTAAAGAAATGCAAGATTCTGTCAATTCAGAAAATAAATATGACATTTAAATTTTAAAAATTTTATTACAATTTAGTATGTAGAATGTTTTTAAATAATATGTATTATAAAAACAGCATTTCACTAAGTTTTTATGATCCTATTAGGGTGGTACTTTTGCAGTTTATCACTTTAAAAAGCACTTGATGTATAGTTGTCCTTCACTATCTCCAGGGGATGGTTCCAGGAGCCCTCGGATGCCCAAGTCCTTTACAAAATGGCTTAGAAAAGTGCTTATGTTCAGCCCTCCACCAGTGGAAAGTACTGTTTTCCTTCACTAGTGGTTGAATGTGTAGGTTTGAAATCTGCAGATATCGAGGGCCAACTATATTAGTTTCCTAGGGCTGTATACTAGGTGGCTTAAAATAACAAATTTATTGTCTCATAATTTAGAGGCTAAAGAGGGTTTTGCAGGGTCATTTTGTGCTGGAGGCTCTCAGAGAAAATCTATTATGTGCTTCTCTCCTTGCTGTTTTTTTTTTTATTTTAAAGTTTTAAAATTGATTTTAAGAAAGAAAGAGGAAGGGGGTGGGGAGGAGGAAGGGAGAAAGAAGGAAAGGAAGATCAATTTGTTCCACTCATTTATGCATTCATTGGTTGATTCTTGCATGTGCCCTGACCAGGAATTGAACCTGCAACCTTGGCATATGGGGACAATGTTCTAACCAACTGAGCTACCCAGCCAGGGCTCTCCTTGCTTCCTTATGGTTGCTGCTGGCAATCCTTAGCATCCCTTGGCTTTTAAATGTATTATATCAATCTCTGTTTCCATATTTACCTGCCTTCTGCCCTGGGTGTGTCTGTGTCCGTATTTCTCTCTTCTGAGAACACTGGTCATACTGGGTTTAGGACCCTAAGCCAGTATGACCTCATTGTACTAATTACACCTACAAAGACGTTATTTCCAAATAGGGTCACATTCTGAGGTTCTGGTGTGTGTGTGGAGGGGGGGAACACTATTCAGCCCACAACACTTGGTTTTTCTAATTTCTCTTTGCCATTTTTTAAATTAAGAGGAAAACGGTAAGCATGGTGGAGAGAAAAGTCAGGAAAGAACAGTGACGTGGGTGTGTGTTAATGTATAGCATATGTTTATGCCTGCTTAGCCGATTTAAAGTGCTGTTATCGCCAGTCGGTTTGGCTCAGTGGATAGAGTGTCGGCCTGCGGACTGCAAGGTCCCAGGTTCGATTCCAGTTAAGGGCATGTACCTTGGTTGCGGGCACATCCCCAGTAGGAGATGTGCAGGAGGCAGCTGGTCGATGTTTCTCTCTCATCAATGTTTCTAACTCTCTTTCCCTCTCCCTTCCTCTCTGTAAAAAATCAATAAAATATATTTTTAAAAAAAATAAAGTGCTGTTATCAGTGATGCTACAGCACTGAACTTGAATCTGCCTTCAACTCCTCATCTCAAACTCCTCATCCATTATGGGATCAAACCACTTCTTAAATTCCCAATTCAAAGCCAACCTCCATTAGTATTTTCTCAGTAAAGGAAGCCAGGAATACTTAAACACTCACATACCCAAACATCAAATATATATTCACATAAGTTATATTGCTAAAAATATAAGTGGACCAGGCCAGAAATGAATACAGTGTCAATCTCATCGTCAGTTTATGTCCATTAAAAATGGTTATTGAAATGGAAAGGCTAGAGGAGATTATTTTTTTCTCGATTGAGGAGTCTTGTCTATTTGAATATGCACATTTAGGGAAATAGTATTAAATACGAAATTACAGGCTTCATTATTGTTTCTCAACAGGTGGGGCCCAGTTGACATTTTGGGCGTAAAACCTCATTGTGCAGGATTGTACAACTCGGTGTATAATTTAGATTCTTAGAAATGAGCATTCCTGAGTCCCCAGGACACAAAGTGCCCATTGTATCCTCTCTGTCATATTGCATTGTATTCATGACTATTACAATGAATTAAAACTGGCATAGTATTGCCACTCTGTAGTCTTAGAAGAAAAAAATTTCACGACAGTTAAATTTTTAAAAAACATAAAGTAGAAGGTAAATCAGTTTCAAGGGATACTGCACTCTTTTATCTAGTATACTAATAAATAGCAGCTTTCCTATTTATATTATAAAAAGTATATTAATTTGTGGAGAATTTTTAGAAGATGATTTAGATGACTATAACCATAACTTATTTAATTGGTTAAATAACTCATATTTCCAATAAAATATTATTATCTGGAATTCTAGATGATCATGAATTTTTTTAAAAGGTACGTTTCCTCTGTACTGCATTCTTTTTTATTTTGTTATAAAATCTGGTTATTGAAAAAGCCTCTTCTAGAAATAGAATGATAGCTTTGATTTCTATTGCTACATTAAATCACGTATCTCCTCGTGTAGATTAAGAGTTTTTAAAGGGGTTTTCTTCAAACACATGAATTTTAAACACCTTCTTGTTTTCTTACTTTAGGAAATTATGCAGGCCGGGGGACTGCTGGAATGGTTGCCCGTTTTCTCCCTTCTCATCTTAACAACAAGTCCTGCAGGGTGACGTCTCTGTGTTACAGTGAAGACGGTCAGGAGATTCTCGTTAGCTACTCTTCAGATTATATCTACCTTTTTGACCCCAAAGATGACACCGCACGAGAACTTCGAACTCCTGCAGAAGAGAGAAGGGAAGAGGTAAGTTTATTCAAAACCATCTTCTTTATTTTACTCAGAAAATACTAATTCAGTGACTTCTGGGGCCAAAAGGGCTTCAAAAAATAGAGCTAATTTTCAAGGCACTTACAGTCTAGGAAACAAGGACACAAAACATACATGAAGGAACAGGAGCTAATAATTAAGGAAAGGCTCTAGAAAGAAGTATTGTAAAATATTTTTAAAGATAAAATATTTAATAACAAAATGCTTCGTTAACTATGAGGTTGCACAGTAGCAGTAAGAAATAGCCACAGGTCTAACAGTTACAGAAAAGGCAGTTAAAATAAAAAATGTGATGTACAGATTTCCAGGAGACTAAATGTTTATGGTTATGCACTAATAGGAGTTTTACCTGTTACTGTTTACTATTCATATGTGGCCAGCAGTCCCCTCTGCTCCAAAGACTGCCTCTCTTTCACAATTATAAACTACTTAGAAGTCCAATGCACAACATTCATGCACTGGGGGAGAGGGGTCCCTCAGCCCGGCCTGCACCCTCTCACAGTCTGGGACCCCTCGGGGGATGTCCGCCTGCCGACTTAGGCCTGCAGGGGAGTGGGTCTAAGATGGCAGTCAGATATCCCCCAAGGGATCCTTAGCGCTGCCATGGATGCGGAAGAGGCTCCCGCCACTGCCGCTGCACTCTCCAGCCATGAGCCCGGCTTCTGGCTGAGCAGCACTACCCCTGTGGGGGCCCACTGACCACCAGGGGCAGCTCCTGCATTGAGCTTATGCCCCCTGGTGGTCAGTGCAGGTCATAGCGACCAGGCGTTCCACCATTCAGTCAATTTGTATATTAGCTTTTTATTATATAGGATAACATTATCCCTAGGTACATGTCACAAAATACATATGAGGGAGTGAAAAAAAGGTAAATTAAAGCATACACACACACACACACACAGAATTGGGTTAACCATTTTCTTACTTATGAAAGGAAAAAAACAAATAATATATCCTTGACATTTCACAACAGTAGGAAAATGTTTGTTTTCACCTATAAGCTTCTTTCCCTCTCATGGTTTTCACTTTGGCTTTTTTATTTTATAATGTCCTATGTTTAATCACTGTACTCTGGCTTTTGAAATGTCTTTTGAAGTTGTTGCTTTTTGTTAATTATTAGTGGCCTTTTTAGTATTGGCCCAACTCCTTTTACTGAACACATTTTAAAGGTACTAAAGAACACAATTTTGTAATTGCTGTGAGATGCTAAACTGAATTCAATTATTAAAATTACTAGAGGCCTGGTGCATGACTTTTGTGCACGCGGGGGGGGGGGGGCGGGGGGCGGTTCCCTCAGCCCAGCCTGTGCCCTTTAGCAGTCCGGGAGCCCTCGGTGGATATCTGACTGATGCCGTGGAGGCGGCAGGAAAGGCTCCCGCCACTGCCATTGCACTCACCAGCCATCAGCCTGGCTTGTGGGCTTGTGGCTGAGCAGCTCTCCCCCTATGGGAGCTCACTGACCACCCGGGGGCAGCTCCTGTGTTGAGCGTCTGCCCCCTGGTGGTCAGTGTGCGTCACAGAGACTGGTCGTTCAGCCATTCGGTCAATTTGTATATTACCCTTTTATTATATAGGATAGGCTTAGAGGACTGTGAAATTAGAAAACAAATAGTATTACTCTATAAATATATCTTGGGATTTTAAATGTGGCAGTAGATTTAAATGAGTCAGGAAATTGATAAGGAAGAGGGCATGATGATGAATGAAAACTAAGTTTATTGGTCTGATTGAAAGCATGAAATCTGCTCTGACATTTTTTTCATTGCTGTATAATTTCCTCTTGAGATAAGTACTTGAGTAAGTTATAGTCAAAGTTTGTGACTATTTCAGCCAATTGATGTTTCTCACCAATGTTTATCTCTCTGTCCCTCTCCACTCCTCTCTAAAGTCAATAAAAACTTTTTTTTAAAGAAAAAACAAAGAGTTGGAAATACAGAAACATTTTAAGTGGCTTTTATACCACTAGCTTTTATACCATAGAATACTTAGCCAAAGATGTTTGTATGATCAGAGCAAAAGAGGCAGAGTCAGTCACGAACAGTTGGTTTTGGCTTTTTTCTGAATGTGTTTTTCTCAGTATACTTTGTTGAGTTAACTAAATTAGGAAAAATAATTCTGAAAATGTATTAAAATTATAAAAATAAATCATGCTTATTGTAATCAACCTAACAATTAAGGTATACATAGAAGAAGAAATTAAAAATCTGTTGCCATCTTCAACCCACCATCTTTTCTTTCAGTGTTTTACATCCTTGACCATTGGGGTCAGACAAACTTAATTTATCACATATTTACTGGGTACCTACTACACACTAAGTCCTATATTAGACTTTAGAAAATCAAGGATGACTGTGACAAGGACATGGCCTCTCAGGAATTTACAGTTTAGTGGATGTAGACATATGAATGAATGAATGAATGAATGAATGAATGAATGAATGAACGAAAGAAAGACTTAATAGAATAATATGTAAGAATTATGTTCTATATAAGTAGACCAAAGGAGGGAATAATTGATTTTCATTGGAAACATGAGACAAGCTTAAGCAGGGGTTTAAAGTATGAGTAAAGTTTAATATATGATACATGTGATTTTTTTCTTATGCTTCTTTTATATTTTCTTATTTGTGAAGGCCTTTTTTTTTAATTTCTTCACATCCTGTAATAATTTCTTTCCCCTTTTTATTTAGTATACTAGATTTGTGCACCAGTGGGGTCCTTCAGCATGGTCTGTGGGGCTGGGCTGAAATTGGCATCCAACATCTTCCAAGGGATGTAGTAGTGTGCGAAGTAGCAGGCGGCCAGGGAGGAGCTGCTCACACTCATCCCAGTCAGCTGAGTGCCGCTCCCACTGTGGGAGCACACTGACCACCAGGGGGCAGCTCCTGCGTTGAGTGTCTGCCCCCTGGTGGTCAGTGCGCATCATAGCGACCTGTCAACTGGTCGCTTAGGCTTTTATATATATAGAGGAGTGGCCCGGTGTACGAAATTCATGCACATTAAAAGGGAATTAGAGGAAATATTTTGATATTGCTATTTGTCCTTTCTCTGTAATGAAGTGTTAGAGATGAAAGAAAATTAGTAAAATGTATATGAAAAGCTTCCTCCTGTCAGAGTCAGGGGCACGCCTCAGGACCCAGAGTCAAGTCCCTGCCCACCCACGCGCACCTCGAAATCGTGCGAGACCCAGACCCAGCCAGCCACACCCCTGTCAGTCCCCGCAGGACAGGGGTGCAGCCTCAGGTCCTCTGGCCCAGCGCCGGTGGGGGTGCAGCCTCAGGTCCCCCGGCCTGGTGCCGGGCGGGGAGCATGACCTCAGGTCCTCTGGTGCAGCCTCAGGTCCCCTGGCTCGGTGCTGGATGGGGGGCGCAGCCTCAGGTCCCCCATCAAGCCCCACCAAGCAGGCGACGCAGCCTCAGGTCCCCCGTCAAGACCTTCCGGGCAGGGGAATGCAGCCTCAGGTCCCCTCGCCTGGCCTCAGGTCCCCGGCGTGAGCGTGTGAGGGCATGACATCCATTTGCACATTAGCTCTTTATTATATAGGATTCTTTTGTCTTGTTCAATTGTTTCTCACTTCTCATTTTCCTTTATTATTATTTTTTCTTTTTATTGTCTTTTCTTTCTTTTCCTTTTCCTCTAATTTTTAAATTGAATTTATTGGGGTGAGACCTGCCCCACTTCATTATTGAACTGCTGCATTGAATCCAATCTCTCATTTATTCCTGGTCCCCATAGTTTGTCTCTAAAATATACATCCCAAATCTGTAGCACTACTCACCACCCTGGCTACCACTGCTACTTGGTGCAAGATGTCAGCATCTCTCTTCTCTGTTATTATGGGGCTTTCTGACCAGTCCCCCTGCCACTCTTCCCACAATCCTCTCATCAGGTCATGCTGCTCTTCTGATCAGCTCTCTAAGGGACTCCCACTTCTTTCAGAGCCAGACTGAGGTCCTTAGAGTGGTTTCAAGACCTGCATCATCGGTTCTCATACTCCTCTGCTCTCCCTGCTTCTCTGCTTTAGCACATCTGCTCACAGGCAGCTAAGCAAGCCTCTACCTGAGGGCCCTTGGCTTCCTTTGCAAGATTTCCTTGGCGTCTCTCACTTTCAGTCTACGTGCGTCCTCAGTACAGAAAGTAGGGGGATGGAGAGAAGCTACTAGATTTGAAGTGTGCTTTAGAGGTGAGCAAACAAGTGTTCTCCTCACCTTTTAGTTACGGCAGCCTCCGGTGAAGCGCTTGAGGCTTCGTGGTGACTGGTCAGATACTGGACCCCGAGCCAGGCCGGAGAGTGAACGAGAGCGAGATGGTAACTATACTTTGGTCAGCTTTTTTGTTTTTCTATGGTATTTAAAAATGAGTATTTTCACTTGTTTCCATTGTTTCCACTGTTATAAGTGATGTTGCAGCAAGCATTCTGGTACGTCTCTTAGCACACCTATGCAAGTGGGTCGCAGCTAAATTCCCATAAGTGGGATGGCGGGTCCACTGGATTAGTGTGTTTTAACTTTGATAGTTATCAAGTTACCCACCCAAAAAGCACTCCTTTACATTCCCACTGAAAGTATAAGAATGCTCGTGCCTCATAAAACATCAGGTGTCATCAAACTTCTTAATTTTTGCCTTTCTCTTAGATATAAATGGAATGAGAACCCTCAGTTTCCAACCAGAGAGTTTTATAATAGCACATAAATTTTTTTACCCTTCTCTCGGGTGCCTTTGACAAGTGCGAGAAACTACCTTGGAAGCTTTAAGATGGCACTTTAAAATAGAATTAATTTTAATAAGTGGGTCTTTAGCCAAAATGTTACTCTAATGACTTCTGAAATCTTTCAAGATTAAAGGCATATTTCCCAGTATATTATCTTTTGTATTATCTTATAATACCTAAATATAAAGCTATATAATATAAAGGCAATGAAGTATAAGATAAATTCTATTTTCACAGAAAATTCAAGAACAAATGATTTCCATTTTTAATTATATGATTGTAGAATAGAAATGAATTGTCAGTTTTGATGTCATACTTAATTTGAAAATGCTCAAGAAAACTTGTGTATTCGAGGGAGGAAAAGCAGGGAGGGAAGAGACAAAACACTTCTAGTTTCAGTTAATTTCAAGTATGTAGAATTTGCTTACAGTAAATGATGAAAACAAATTCAGTTTAAGAAAATTTAAGTAAGAGGGCAAACTTTTTTTTTAATCTGAACAGTGTACAATGCACAAGACCTTCCTAGCTGTGCACTCTTAGAACTAAAGAGGTGGGTTGGGTAGGGGTGGGGGGACCCTAAGACTAGGCAAAGATGTAGGAGCTAAGTCCAGTTCTTGAGGAACTCAAACACACATGGAGAGCCACTCATTTAAACTTTAATGTGAAATGTGATGATGGCTCTTGTGGATCTGTGTACATTCATAGAATTTATTTGGGCAATTTGATTTTTTTAAGTTATGTTCATTTTAAGGCCCTCAAATCTGGGTTTTTGCATTAATGAAAAATGCTGACTTATTACTAGTTCATTGATATGACCTGTGTTTCCATAGGAGAGCAAAGTCCCAATGTGTCACTGATGCAGAGAATGTCTGACATGTTATCAAGGTGGTTTGAAGAAGCAAGTGAGGTTGCACAAAGCAATAGAGGACGAGGAAGATCTCGACCCACAGGTGGGTGCTCTTATTAATTACAGTCATCAGAAAGCTGGTAACAACTACTGAGTGGGGTTTATTTTTGCCATCCGATTTCCACCATGTTTTAGATCTACAGTAACGCAAGGTTCTTACTGTTGTGTGAAGCAGGAGAGGGAGAGGGCATTAGGTACAACTGGTCCCTTCAGTTTCCACTAGTTCTAGCCCTTATTTTTTGCTTTTCTCAAAAAAAAAGTAAAAGCAGCTGATAGTCCCCACTTAAGTCCTTTTTTATTAGAGTAGAAATATATAAAACCCTGTAGATAAATAAGTTTTATATAATTGAATACTTTCTGCTTTTGGTTACTTATATAATTGGTTATTAATTACGTTTCTGGTGTTAGCTGACCTGTTTTCATATCTTTGTTCACTACTTCCCAGCTTTGTGGTCTTTGGCAAGTTACTTGTCTCTATCAAAAGTGAGCATATAAAAAGTTAACTCCAAAATATTTTAAATCCCCAAACTAAAGATTTCTATTGAATTTCATCTATAAGTGGATTTTGTTAAATCATGCAGATCAATTAACTTTTAAAAAAATTCCTTGGTCCCTAGCTGGTTTGGCTCAGTGGATAGAACATGGGCCCATGGACTGAAGGGTCCCGGGTTCGATTCCAGTCAAGGGCACATGCCTGGGTTGTGCGCTCGATCCCCAGTAGGGGGCATGCAGGAGGCAGCCAATCAATGATTCTCTCTTATCATTGATGTTTCTATCTTTCTCTTCCTTTCCCTTCCTCTCCAAAATCAATAAAAAAATATTTTTAAAAAATTCCTTGGACTGTGGATTTGCTGAAGAGACGAAATTTCTGCTTAAATTTAAGAAATATTTAAATCATGGTGATTAAAAGAACAAACTTGACATTCTGTGGTAGTTGTATCTTACAAATCATGTAATACTGGTTTGGTGGTGATGAACTCCTTTAGCTTTTTCTTATCCGTGAAGCTCTTTATCTGACCTTCAATTCTGAATGATAGCTTTGCTGAATAAAGTAATCTTGGTTGTAGGTTCTTGCTATTCATCACTTTGAATATTTCTTGCCACTCCCTTCTGGCCTGCATAGTTTCTGTTGAGAAATCAGCTGACAGTTGTATGGGTATTCCCTTGTAGGTAACTGACTGTTTTTCTCTTGCTGCTTTTAAGATTCTCTCTTTGTCTTTTGCCCTTGGCATTTTAATTATGATGTGTCTTGGTGTGGTCCTCTTTGGATTCCTTTTGTTTGGGGTTCTCTGTGCATCCTGGACTTGTAAGTCTATTTCTTTCACCAGGTAGGGGAAGTTTTCTGTCATTATTTCTTCAAATAGGTTTTCAATATCTTGCTCTCTCTCTTCTTCTGGCACCCCTATAATTCGGATGTTGGTACGCTTGAAGTTGTCCCAGAGGCTCTTTACACTATCTTCATATTTTTGGATTCTTTTTCTTTTTGCTTTTCTGGTTGGGTATTTTTTGCTTCTTCGTATTTCAAATCTTTGACTTGATTCTTGGGATCCTCTTGTCTGCTGTTGGATCTCTGTATATTATTCTTTATTTCAGTCAGTGTATGCTTAATTTTTAGTTGGTCTTTTTTCATATCCTCCAGGGTCTCACTAAATTTATCGGCGGTTTCTAGAAAATTCTTGAAAAACCTTAAAAGTGTGGTTTTGAACTCTATATCCAGTAGTTTGCTTTCCTCCATTTTGTCATTTGTGACCTGTTTCTTTGTCTCCGCATTTTTTATGCTTCCCTGTGTTGGTAGAGTGGCTTTGTGTGCTAGGTGTCCTATAGGGCCCAGTGGCTCAGCCTCCCCAGTTACCTGAGGTGGACACTCTTGGTGCACCCCTTTGTGGGCTGTGTGCACAGTCTTGTTGTAGTTAAGCCTTGATTGTTGTAGGTATCACTGGGAGGAATTGACCTCCAGGCCAATTGTCTGTGAGAATCAGCTGTGTCTATGGTGGGAGAACTTTTGTGCTGAAGACACCCTTCTGGGGCAAGACTTGCTTCAGTGGGGCTTTGGTGCTCACTGAGTCTGCCCCCTGAGTGTGTCCCTTATGGATCTGAGGAGTTGTAATCTGGATGGTTCCACTCTGACCACTGGGTACACTGGCTCTTGGATCTAAGGAGGTGCTAATTTAGCCTCTGCCTGAGGCTACCCAGCAGGAGCTATGAAGAGATCTGCAGATTCCCCTTCCTTGTTTGGGGTTTGGAGGTGCCCAGATGAGGCCCAGCTGTGAAGCAATGCAAGCTGCTGTGGGGCCTTGGGCCTTCTCTTGGAAGTTCTGGGTCTGTCTGGCCCAGCTGCAGTTTGTTAGGTAATTTTCAGATTGCAAAGGGCCAGAGCATTCATATGCAAAAGCCTCTGCCACAGCTTGGGTGGGGCGGGGTCTCAGGGAATCAACAGGGCGGAGCAAGCAGCTATGGCTGATCCTCAGCCCTGCCCTAAGAGGCCCCGCGTCTCAGTGTCCCAGTAATCGCTGCAAGCACCTCTAAGAGAAAGCCGCCCTCGAGTTCCGAGTTCTGCCCGCTGCCAGACAGTCCAGTTTCTCCCCGTATGTGTCTGGGTCCCCAGAGACTTCCCAGAACTGGAGTTCAGAGCAATCGGGGGCTTGTGACTCCCTCCCGATTCAAAAAGACAGCCGCGTCCTCAGTTGCCAGCCCTTGCCGCGTGCGCCTCCGTACCTCTGCACTTTACTTCCGCACCTCCTCTGAGTCTCAGTGTGCTGTTCTCTTTCCTTCTAGTTGTAGAATTTCCACTCAGCCAGCCTTCCTGTAGTTCTGGATGATGTCCGTTTTGTCTTTTAGTTGTATTTTTGAAGTTGTTGTGGGAGGCAGCAATTTCTGGTGTTTACCTATGCCGCCATCTTGATTTCTCCTCTGTCCACTCCATTTTTAATAAAATCTAGATTTGAAGCAAAATCAGGAAAATTTTTAATATTTATTGAGTACTAATCATTTCTTTGCAGATAGCAGGAAGCCTAGCACAGCACATAATGGACACTTAAGCCCTTTAAAATCATGCCTTCATCATGTTAGTTTAGTGGTTAAAACATTATGGCTAATGAAATGGGAATGAAGAACTTAATCCTATTCTGGCCTATTTGTTGTTTTACTCTTGCTAATAAAATTTTTATTAAATGTTTTACCAAGGCCATGATGTTATAGAGTGGAAATATCTCAGTATAAATCCATTATTCTATTATCCAGCTATTGCATCGGAATCATTACCTTATTTATTTATTTTTTTAAAAATTTATTATTTTTTTTGGTGCCAAAACCCAGGATCAATATTTATTTATTTTTAATATATTTTTTATTGTTCACAGTATTATATCTCCCATTACCTCCCTTCCACCCCCTATTTTCTCCCCCAGATCTTCACTACCCTATTGCCCATGTCCATGTTTTATGCATATAAGTATGTAAGTTCTTTGGTTTAATTCTTCTCATCTCCCCAACCCCATATCGAGGTATGTCAGTCTGTTCCATACCTCCCTGCCTTGGGTCTTATTTTGTTGGTTAATTCATTTTGTTCATTAGATTCCACAAGGAATCATCACCTTTAAATTTGAGGGACTAGGCATGTTTCTAGGCATCTCACAAGTTATTTAGCTTTGTCTAAATGAAGCTGCCATGTGGATCATTTTCTTAAAAGAATGATAATTTTTAATGAGAATGTGCTATAGATAGATGTTTACCCCTATTGACTAGCCTAGTCAAATGGACCAAACTACCAGTGGGTGTTTTTGATTTCCTGTATATTATATATTTCTGTGTATGTGTGTGTGTGTACATGTGTGTGTGAAGTGCACCTGAACATACCTCTTCTGAGTGGTTGGTTTTGGAAAGCATTTAGTATTCGAACTTGCATTAACATGTGCTTTTTTAAGGTGGGACGAGTCAGTCAGATGTTTCGACTCTTCCTACGGTCCCGTCAGGCACTGGTTTGGAAGCGGGTGACACTGTGATGGAAGTAGACACTTCAGCTGAGCAGTTGCTACAACCTTCCACGTCCTCCATGGTCCACTCCACAGCATCTCCTCCAGGAAGCCCACCTTCTACTTCTCTGCTGTCCTCTCCAGACAGTGAGCACAGGTCGTCTGCCGAGGCGTCTGGACAGCACACACACCATCAGTCTGGTGAGGATGTTACTCTTTAAATAGGCGGTGGGTCGTCTGATGGTTTCTGCTCATGATCATTCTCTAGGGGTTGTTTGGAAAGACACTAAGTCACATTGACTGGTTCCTGCTGGAGCAAATAATCTAAATGACACACAATATGTGAACATATAACCAAAACATGAAATTCAAGTGTGCCTAACCTGCATGAATTGTAATAAGTAGCAGGAATCTTCCATTTACATAAGAGAGTTTTATAAAAATATGGGTACCAGGAGATAGTTTAATGCACCTCTCTTAAAGATTATTTTTATAGGCCATTATAGACCAAAATCTTTCTAAACCTATTTGGTTATAAGTCTGTATTAAAGTAATGGTAAAAATATAGCACTGATTATTATTGTTTCCATTGTATTTATATTTTTTCTTATTTTTTCTCAAATCACGAAGCACTTTTAATAATTCTGTATGGTGCATTTGATGTGGTCTGTTGCCAGCAACATATACAGTGCAATTAACTAAAATAATTATTTCTTCTATATTTACTTAAAAAAGAGTTGTTTAAACAATTGTCTTTTTGGTGCTTGATATTAGGGGAAAAATTAACTTCTAAATTCTGTTAAAATACTATTTCCTCAGTATTATAACTCCTTGTGTTCAATTTATTTTTCCCTCAAACTGTGGCCTGTACTATTTGTAACAGTAATTGTCAGCAGCTATGTCTGTAGTTACTTGGCATCTTAACTGTATACATGTAATTATAATAACCGGTAAGATGTTTTTCCTTGGGTTTTTTCCTCAAGGAACAATTTTACTTGACATATAACCAAAATATTATCACCTGGAGGTGCAGCTGGCAGGCCTAAGCTGAAACTAATAAAATTTCCTAACAGCCTAACTGCCAAGCTGTCACTGTATTCTTGTTCTCTGGAATTGGATGCCAGATCACCAAACATGGGGTGTTTTTAAATTAAGCACTTTTTAAATCAATATTTCCCATTTTTATTAATTCATTTTAGGTTATGGGAATGGAAGCCAGAATCAATTATGTAACTGTTAACACTGTGCTCAATTTATCTATAGTAGTAAGATAAAGCTAAGCTATAAAATTCTCTAATCAACATAGCATTCCAACTTATGGGAAAATAAAATATTTTGGAGAGTTTGGGAACAAAGAACAAAATCAGTTAAAAGTTTGCTTTTCAAAGCAGGTAAAATTGGTAAAAACAAGAATTTTTAAAGCGATAGCATTCTTGGAAATATTCTTCAGTATTGTAATCATTTATAAGTTATCAGGAAAAACTTAACAAGAAGACTCCTTAGGTCACGTTCACATTCCAGTGCATCTCAACTCATTACAGTTATTTCTGAGAAAAGTACTTAGTATAGAGTTATTTTTTTTGTTATAATTATTTAACACATCTTAATACTGCATTTCAAATTGCTAAATTTAATATTAAATACTGCAGTCATGTGACTCATTGAAATAGAAAAACTTTGTTATGATCATGTGATCACTTTGCAGTTTGCCTATATATTTTTCAAAGAAAGTAAGGAAATATTTTTAACTGGTAGATTATTGAAAGAATTTTGGTTGACTACACCATGAAAAATTGGAATATTTTCTGTGTTATCAAGATAGTTTTGCTATTGAGGAAAGTGTTTGATGTTAGATGTAATATCTAAGGATTATGTCTGTAATTGTTTTGACACTAAGCCTTTCATTATCCCAGAGCCCAACATTTTAACAATAAGGACTTAATGTCTTCCTTTGTTTCCTAATCTCTTATGGACTTTTAAGTCCAGAACTAAGGTTTGTGATGGTGGGATTTGTCCATGGAGTGGGTGGGAGTGTCATCTTCAAGCCATGATTTCTCTTACTGTCCTGCATAGAAATAAAGAAAATGAAAAGTGTGCTTCTTGCCTTGCTGCAGATACCTCTTTCTATAAATGTTTATTCTCTTCCTTCATGTCCCTTGCATTTCCTGTCACTTTTGCTGGGGTGAAGGAAAGGGACATTGAGAATGTGAAAACTTGCCTGGCAAAATTCCTTCTCCAATTGAACCTAATTATTTGCTCTCTCTTAGACTGAGCTGAGTTCCTGAGTGATAGTGAGGAAGGCCATGACCACACATGTTAGTGTGTGCTCCACACTGTCAGGGTAGTCCTTAGACACTGTGCTTATTCTACACCTTCCTATCTCTCAGACTTTTCACCGCCCCCCCCCCCTTTCCCTCATCCCACCCCCAGCTGACCACCTTCCTGCATCAGCACAACCATTGATGTGATGGGAGAAGTGTGTCTGCTCCTATGAAAGGGCACTCCCGTTCCTTCCCAGCACCTCCAGGACTTTGCTCTCTCTCCTGCATCATTATTGCCTTTTCTCCTGAATTGTTCCTTTTGGCCTCAAGCATGCTCTGTTATTATCCACTGTCTTTAAAATTCTCTTAATTATCCCGATTCCCCTCCAGCCTTATAACTTTGCTTCTTTTAAATCAGTCTTCAAAAGAATCGCTCACACATATTATTTCTATTTTCTTACCATCTTCCATTTATTTATCCACTAATTCCAATCTTCCTTTCAGCCCCCTTTTCCACAGAAACCTTTGTCGGAGTCACCAGTGACTTCCATTTTGACAAATTTAAAGTCTACTTCTCTGTTAGTACGTTACTCAAACTTTTGACCCAGTTGCATTTAAGTCTGCTGCTCCTTTCTTTCTTGAAACTTTCCTTTCTTGGCCTTTTGACACCACTTTTGCCTCTGTACCCAGACTACCAACTCTCGGTGGTTTTCAGTGATCACTGCTGATGTTTCTTCTTCTGTAGAACCCCATAGTCCGGCTCATTTTCGCTATCGGTGATCTATCCCTGGGCGACTATGTCAGTTCCCATAGCTTTTAATATTTCTTTAAGTTGATGAGCCCTAGACTCTTACGTGCAGTGGCTTATGGGACACTGCTTTCTGACTGTCTTTGGACATCTTTAGTTTAATGTGTCCAGACTAAAACTTAATTTAGCCTCCCACCCTTCGAGTCCCCTAATCTATTCCATCTTGGTTGTTTTATATCTTAGTAAATTATAATACCACTGCCCATTTGCTTGTTTTAACAGCCTATGACTTGTTCCTGATTGTTCACTTTCCCTCGTGACCCAGGCCCAGTCCACCATCAAGTCCCATTGGTTCTACTTCTTTCCCTCTCACCACCTTTCTTGTCTGCTGATTGCTCTCCCTGCAGCTGTTCTTGCTCCCTTATTTATTCTCTAGGCAGCAGCCTTATATTTTTAAAGTTTTTTAAAATGTTAACTCAGATTATATAACTTAGCTGTTTAAAATCCCTCAAAGAGACCTGGCCTGTGTGGTTCAGTTGTTAGAGAATCAGCCTGCACACCGAAGGGTCACAGGTTTGATTCCTGGTCAAGGGCAGGTACCTGGGTTGCAGGTTTGCTCCCGCCCCCGGTTAGGGTGTGTGAGGAGGCAACCAATCGACGTGTCCCTCTCACACCGATATTTCTTTCTCTCTCCCTTTCATTCTCTCTAAAAAGCAATGGAAAAAATATCCTCAGGTGAGAATTAACAAAAAGCAAACAAAAAAACACACAAAAAATAACCCTCAAAGATTTCTAATTGCAATAGGAACTACAACTACAAAAGAAGGAAATCAGACTCCTTACTGTGGACTTGCAGGAACTGACTTGGCCTGGCCCTTGCCTCCCGCTCCAGCTTTCTCTCACACCACTTCCTCAGTCCCTGATGGTCCTGCGCTCTAGCTGTCCTGGTTTCCTTTCAGTTTCCCAAATGTGCCACTTTCTTTCTGATTCTGAGCCTCTGTACTTAGAGTTGGAGAACAGTAAGTACCCGAGCTGAGAAGCTCTTCCCCTGACTTAATCATAGAGTCAACCCCTTGTTTCTTGGGTCTCAGCTCAAATGTCTCCCAAGGGAGGTCTTTCATAACTCCCCTACCTAGATTTATCTTTTTTTCCTACCTCCCTAAAAGTTTATTCTCCCTTATAAATAGCTCTGCTTATTTCCTGAAAAGTTCTTAAAAATTCTGTAATTTTCTTGCTCATTTTTGATTGATATATGACTTATTGTCTCTTACTAGAATATATTCTCATAAAGACAGAGAGACATTATCTATCTTGTTCTATGTAAGCCTCCCCCTCAAAAAATAGTCATTCTCTAAAGGTACTGTTAAGATTGTTATCTTTAAGCTAGTATAGCTATACTAGTGACCCGGTACACGGATTTGTGCACATTGAAAGGAAATTAATTAGAAGGTGGCCCGTGGGGCCGGACTGGGTGAGACAGGCCAGACATGCCCTGGAGCCAACCTCCCACGGTCCCTCCGAGGCATCTGCAGAGTGAGCAGGGGTCCCTCCAGCAGGTAGGGTCCCTTGGCCTGGCCTGTGGGGATTGGGCCGAAACAGGCTCTCCAACATCCCCTGAGGGGTCCCGGAGTGCGAGAGGGCACTCTGCAAAGTTGCTGTCGTGCAGGGTGTGGAACGCAAATGCGAGTGTGCAGTAAACCAGATTCGGGGCTGACAGTGCCCCACAACAACATAGCCCACGGCCAAAGGTGGAATCACGCAGCCCCATGAGGAATCGGACTCCCTCCTCTCTGGTTTCAGGGTGCGTCACCCTAGAACCACCGCTGCCAAGTCACTGCAGCTCGGCAGCTCTGCGTTGAGCGTCTGCCCTCCTGGTGGTCAGTGCATATCATAGTGACCGGTTGGACTGTCGGACACTTACCATATTAGCCTTTCATATATTTATAGATAGGGTATACTTAGCTCTATTTTAGTCTGTATAGTTTCAGCCCACTCCATTCATTCTGGATGTTTCCCATAGGCTCCCCAGTGTGATGTCATCTAGGGGAGATGCTGTGAATGGGTATCCAGTCATTCATCATTTTTGGATCCACTGTTTGCCCTCAACTATTCAGAACATATAAGACTACATTATTTCCTACTTTGTTCAAAAATATTTTAAGGTAATTTACAGAAATACTTTTTTAAATCAT